AAACTAAAAACCAAAGTAGTAAGTAAACAACCCAGTGGAAGCGCAATAGAGTACTTGTTTCTTGAAGTCACTGGTAGAGGGAGTTCACCAAATATTCTTATTGGCTGTCTTTATAGACCTAATCGTTCTACTGACTATTCAGACGCAATTGACACAATTACGACTCTATCTTTAAGTTACGAAGACACAGTCATAACTGGAGACCTTAACAGCAATATGCTAACTGAACGACACCTTGCCGATGCAATGTCGTCTTTGGGTTTAAACTTTGTTAATTCGTCCATGCCAACACACTTTTCTAATACTATTAATACGCTACTAGATGTTTTTTTCGTTAGTGATATTAATAAAATTCTATTATATGACCAAATTGACGTACCAGTATTTTCTAAGCATGATTTAATTTACCTGACGTATGAATTTAACCCACATCTGACTGACCAAATCATTTATTTAAGGGACTTTAAGAACATTAATATTAGGCTACTTTGTACTGAAATTGACTTATATAATTGGAATGCAATATACTCACTAACGGACGTAAACTCTCAACTAAGACAATTGTCCGCGTACATTGACGCACTGTATGATAGGCATGTACCTTTAAAAAGGAAAACTCTTAAAGCTAGCCAAAAACCTTGGTTCAATCGAGGTATTGCTTGTAAAATAAGGGAACGTAATATTGCATATTCTAAGTGGAAGAGATACAAGACTCCTGAGCATTACCAGCAGTTTAAAATTTTAAGACGGACAGTAAATAAAATGATCGCAACTGAAAAAAGTCACCATTACGCTGAAAAATTCAACAACGCCATATCAACTAAGCAAAGATGGGGTGAGCTTAAAAAACTTGGCATAGGAAACCTGAAAGCTTCCCCTAAAATTACTGCTGATGCCAACGAACTGAACAGAAAATTTGTGCAATCGACCGTACCTGAAAACATTACTAACCCTTACATTGACGCCGTAACAAATACTGACTGTGATAATAGCTTTAGTTTTATGTGCGTAACTCCCTGTGATGTCCTGAGTTCCGCCCTTAAAATTAAGTCAAAGGCTGTTGGTATGGATAATCAGCATCCCAAATTTATTAAAATGATTTTGCCTAGGGTAATCAATCATGTAACTTATATATGCAACACAGCGCTTACAACATCAAGTTTCCCAGATCAGTGGAAATTAGCCAAAGTAATTCCAATACCAAAGGCAAAAAATGACTACAGGCCAATATCTATCCTGCCCTACCTATCAAAGGTACTCGAAAATCTCATGGCACAACAAATCAATAATTACCTAGTACAACATTCGTTATTGTGCAATAAACAATCCGGCTTCCGTAAATTCCGAAGCTGTACTACTGCCATTTTAGATGTCACAGAAAACATTAGAGAGGAACTTGACGATAGTAAGGTTACATTTCTGACACTCTTGGACTTTAGTAAAGCTTTTGACACGGTAGACCACAATATCCTGTGTACTAAGTTAAACAAATTCTTTAATTTTACTAACACTGCAGTAAAACTAATATCGTCCTATCTGCATGGAAGAAGCCAAGCTGTGAAAACTGACAGTGAAATATCAACATTTATACCTGTGAGACGCGGAGTACCCCAAGGTTCAATCCTTGGTCCACTCCTCTTCACCCTATATGTTAATGATCTCCCTGGTTCGTTATCCAAGTGTAAAGTTCATATGTATGCCGATGATGTCCAAATGTATGTTAGTTGTCCGTTAAGCAGAATAAATGAGTGTGTATTGTTATGTAATGTTGAACTGTCGAACGTTAGTAAATGGGCCAACTGTAATGGATTGTCGCTAAACCCTGTCAAATCTAAATGTATTATTATATATAAAAGGTTGCTGAGCACGGAAAATCTGCCTAAATTATCAATAAATAACACGCTAATTGAATATGTGGATCAGGCTGTTAATCTTGGAATCACCATAAACAAGACATTGTCCTGGAGTGACCAAGTAACCAAGGCAGCCGGTAAAACGTATGGTATAATAAGACAACTTTCCTTGACTCAGCAATTTTTACCAAAACAACTCAGACTCTTAATAGCCAAAACATATCTTATACCCACGCTGTGTTATGGTATTGAAATTTTTGGAAATTGTGATAGGGCATCTCAGCACAGACTAAAAGTGGCATACAATAATGTAGCTAGATATGTCTTCAATGTTAAGAGGGGTGAACACATATCCAGTTTGGCTGACAGCATCAATCAGATGAAGTTTGAAACTTGGAAAGACTACAGAACTTTAATAATGTTGCATAAAATCGTTTATACAGGAGAACCGAGCTATTTATATGAAAAGCTGCGTTTTGGTGTGTCTGCAAGAACCAACAATATTATTAATATTCGTTACAAGCTTGGCTGTTCCGAGCGGCAATTTTTTATACATGCTATTCGTCTGTGGAATCAGCTACCACAAAACCTAAAGAAAATTAGTAGTGCATCGCAATATAGGGAAAAATTAAATTTATACTTAAAAAACTATTAATAGTAATATAAGTAAAAATAATAAAAACAGTAATAGTAAAATAAATATAATAAAACTATAAATTAAATAAATAAAAAATCAAAAAATGAACATAAAAATATAAATAGGCTAAGTAGGTTAATCATATCGACTAACACCCAAACAAAGAATTAATTTCCTTTAACGTTTCATGTTTTGTGACTAGTGTATTAATTTATAAGAAACTTTCTTGTCGCACTAGGAAATAAGTAAATAAATAAATAAAAATAAATAAATAAATTTACTGTGTACATTTGGGTTTAAGGTGTGGGTCACACAAAGGCTTAGCTTCGGCCCCTATATATGAGTAATAGACACAAAATTGAATGCAAATCGTAGATGGTTAGGGCCTCTCGTCTCTGGCGCCTTATAAGCAAAACATATTTAAGCACACTTGATACTGTTTTTGGTTAAAACAACTCTTAGGATGAAGTAACCCCTCGATGGAGCAGCAAAGACCAAACCATAGTTGGTCAGAGTCTGTCTTACTGTCTGTCTGTCTGTGTGTAGTCAATCATTCATTCAATCAATGGTTAAGTCACACTAACAATTGGAAAGTTTAACCGCAAATACTCCAGCAATTGGCTGAATACTCGTATTTTATAATACAAAAATAATAATGAGATTGGCCATTAACTGGACTCCACTGCACTGCTGCTCCACTAAGACAATTTTCAAATTGCTTGGAAAAACAACAGAGAAAAGATTGGATTGCTGGCTTGGCTTGGCTTGTCTTGGGCTGATTGTTAATCGAATACAACAATTTCCGCGCTCGCACTCGCACTCGCACTCGCGCGCTCTCTGCCAGCTGCCAAAACAAAACTGGCGCCCATTGTTCCACACGAAGACCAAAAAAGCTGGCCAAAAGCTGATCCGCTCAATTCAATCCGAAACGAAACGAAACGAAGCGAAGCTCTAGCTCTCTGACTCTGACTCTGACACAATTCATTCATAAAACCAAGAAAAACTACGCTCAGAGACGCTCGTTGAGTGGCACAAAACTGGCTTTTGAGCGTTTCTGTTTGCAGCTCAACTACTCGTACTAGAACTGGTACTCGTAGCGTTACCTTATCGCTATCATCCTCTAGTTCGAGTATGCGAAACTCGAGAAGTTCATTCTGTTCGCGCAGCTCGTTGGACTCGTCGCTGTTGTGCATTTGCTGCTCCTCAAGCTCCTTGATGCGCTGCATCAGCTCATTGATATGCGTGTGGCTGATGGCTGCCTTTTCGGCGCTCTCCAGCTCCTGTTTCATCAGCTGCACTTCGGCTTGCAGACGTTCGTTCTCCTTGTGATACATTTCCGCTTCCTTCTGCAGTTTGTCCAGATCCTGCAGCTGCAAGCATAGAAAATGTTGAGGGTGGAAATGAGTGCCTGAGTGCACCTGTTTGCTAGGGGTGTGTTTTGGCATTGCACTTACAGTCTGCCAGATGACACCGCTGTCGGAGCCACTTGAAGGCGGCTGTGGACTAATCGAAGGCGGTGCCGATGAGAGTGCCGAATCCGTGTCCGAATTGTTGTCCTAAGTGTCAGGAAAGAAAACAAATAAAATCAAAAGTGGGTTCAATGGGTTTGCTCCATGGACTCACCTTTGTCTTGGCTGTGGCATGGCCATTTAGCAGCGTTGTCATCCATGTGGTGGCTCCATCTTCAATCTGCTGCTGCTGCAGCTCCTTCTGGCTGTTGTTGCTCTTCAATGTTGTGCGCATCTCGAGCGTTGATTTATGCGCATTTTTCGTATTGTTGATTAGCTCAATGTTCTTGAGTTGTGTTATCTGTGTGTGTGTGTGGAAAAAAGAAAAGAAAAACGAATGAGAAAATGTCGTGCCTTAGTTTCATTCCCTTCATTAGTTTTCTCCCTGCATTGCCCTGCCACTGCCCCAGAATGGCAATTAACAACAAAAGAATTTGTTCTGCTCTGTTCTCTGCTGTCTTTTATATCTTTAACTCTCTGCGTTGTACATTTCTACGCTGCGGTCTTCAAATCGAATGAATGTCTTTTCTGGTTGCTTGGGGCATGGCATAGAACCCGCTTTTGTGGCTCTACACATGTGTGTGTGTGTGGTGTAAAGAGTCTAGAGAGGGGCCAACAGTTAACAGTTATGACTTGATTTCTTGCCACACAAAAGCAGAGCATTGCTAAAAAAAAGAGCCAATTCATCACAAGTTACTGATAGACAGACAGCCACACGGTTACTTTTCGAACAATAAGCGCTGGGTTCCAGAGGGTTCCAAGATCAAAGAGTCAAAGAGGTTTTGAGTCATTTTTATGGCTTGTATTGTTATCAAAAGTTTTTGGGCCCAAGGATTGCCTGGTCGTGCCTCCTAAAACCCTCACGAATTCCAACGCACATTTAAACATTTAAAACAATTGAATTTGTATGTATATCTCTGCATCTGTGTTTGTGTTTGTCTTCTTCCATCACGAATTTTCATGGTCACGATGCCTCGTTTCCCTTTAGCTGATTGTCAGCTAATTAGCCCACTTAAATGCCACTCAAAACTCAAACTCCCCCTGCCTTATGCCCCCCACACATAACTTTAAATCACTTTCCAATCAAGCAACGCCCTGTTATATGTCTTACTTTCATGTCAATTTCAATTTTTTATATAACATCCATATAATATAATGGTGCGGCTTGGCCGCTCTTTGCTGTGGCTTTGCTTATTATTATACGCATAATGCTGCCATGCATTATGCTAATTTCTGTGTGTGGGGCAGCAGCGGCTCATTGAACATGTGTAGAGAAATCATTAATCAATTGTGAAACGAGGGTAGTGTTCAGCCCAAACCAAA